GTGCACACCCGGGTTCGATTGACGTCAGAGTTCGGTACGTTTGGATGATGTGAACACTGTCTTCCGAACTCGGGTGCGCACCCACGAACCGTACCCGAGTCCGCTTAAAAAGGATGGTCTGGGGTACGGTTCAAGTGAACTCCAGTACGGTTCGCTGCTGATGTGAACGCAATTGTACCAAATCATGGAAGTGAACCGCTATTAATGACGTATTATTTGATTTAAAAAAAAATGTGTTTCACTCACTTTCCTGACGAACGTGACTGACGCGCTGCAAGCGGAGAGCTGTACACCTCATTTCATTGTCGTTGTTTTTTTTGACTTGTTATTTTGTTTTCGGATTTGTCATTGTGTTTTCTGACTTGTTATAATGTTTTCAGAATTATTGTTGTGTTTTCTGAATTGTTATTTTGCTTTTTAGATTTTAATTTTAATTTTCATTTGCGTTTGTAATTTGTTATTTTGTTTTCAGAATTGTGATTTTTTTTTGCACTTCTCGGCCACCATACAATTCTCGCGCTCCAATCTGCCAAAATAATCAGCATGAAATTGTAACCCGATCTCATAAAAGTGCGAATAAATTGTACGCCAAATAAAAACGAAAACTAGTGGAATTGATACGCAAAAATGGACTTTGGCGTGTATATGCTACGCTATGGGTAGGATTAGGGCTGTGGGGTAGATGCGTATCAAATGTACGCGAAAACTGCGTATCATATGCACGCCAACAAATTTCGTATCATATGCACGCGAAAACTGCGTAGGTATTATATGCACGCCAAAACACGTGATTAGCATATACACGGCAAAGTCCATTTTTGCTTATCAATACCACGAGTTTTCGTTTTTATTTGGCGTACTATTTATACGCATTTTCATGAGACCGGGCTCGAAATTGTGTTTGTAACCTATGTACCAACAATAACTGTAAGCAGTGATGACACAAAATTGGTTCCCTAAAAAAAACTTTCAGTGAACATCGCTTAAAATAACCACTTCTTTCTAAGTGTAAAGAATGTTTTCACTATTACATATATTTCTGTGCAATGGAAATATTCCATGCATGTTAAAGGTTCTTCGTGGAACTCCAAATTGTGTTTTTAACCCATGTACCAACAATAACTGTAAGCAGTGATGACACAAAATTGGTTCCCTAAAAAAACCTTTCAGTGAACATCGCTTAAAATAACCACTTCTTTCTAAGTGTAAAGAATGTTTTCACTATTACATATATTTCTGTGCAATGGAAATATTCCATGCATGTTAAAGGTTCTTCGTGGAACCGTCAGTATCAATAAACAAGCTTAAATAAAACTACACAGATACAAAATCTCACATAAATACTGAATCTGCATCACTGACATTTCAGAAGATTTCAGAATTAGCCCTATTAGATCCTATTTATGTGTTGCTTGACAACTTCACTGAGAGATGACGATAATAAAGGAGTGTGCAACATCACATAGTGATGCAACAAAGCATCTGCCCAAGGCAAAAAAAATAAAGACACACAAACCTGTTCAGCTCGCGCTCGGTTGTGTTTGATTTGTACGGGCAGCTCATGAAATCTGACAGCTCCTGCGTGAAACTCTGCAGTTTTAAACTGAGAAGGAAACAAACACTTTCAATCCTCTGAAACACAAAGAATGCAGCTTGATCTTGATTCTCACGCACCTTTTGGCCGGGTTAATAATGTAAAACTTGCGTCTGAGTTTAGCGCAGCGCAGCAGCTGAAGCGTGTCCGTCATCCCATCTCTGAAAGAAAACAGAGTTTTCAAAGCCACTGTATCATATTTGAAATTGATTGAATTTCTAAGCCTCTAAATGATCCACATGATCAATCTTTGCTGCCACACTCAATCTCCTCATGTCTTCTGATTGATAGTTTAGAGTGTTGTATCCAGTCAAAGCTCTTTTAGTGTAATTGTAGAAACGCTTCTCGTGTCAAATCTTGACTGGTTTTGATCAAGTAAGCGTCAGAATAACTGCAGTAATATCTCCAGATGAACACTTACTGGACTGAAGCAGCTCAGCTTTACTTGATTCTCCATCAATCATGTTTTAGAGTCTCAAATCTGATCCTCAGGATCTTTTGAGGAGCGTTTGTTTCCAGAAGCTTTACTTTCACTGTTCCTCAGCGGAGGAATGATCTTCACAAGCCTCCAGAACATCTCACATCTTCTGAGGAGCCTTTATTTCTTCAGCTCTCAATCACTGCATTATATGTTTGGATCATTTCAATCTCATTTTACTGAGACAGATTACTGGAGATATAGAGCGACGACTGATATTTATAGCATTTAATATCAGTATCTGCTGCACTGTTATAAACATCTCGTTGATTTACATCACAAGCAGCAGAATCTCATCAAATATCAGCATCTGAAGCAAATTCATATTTTTGCTCAGTTTGAGTCTCTGAATAAAACTGAGCTGTTTTTATGATACAAAACAAAAAACACATGCAAACATTTGTCTAAAAGTTAAATAAACAAGTTTAAAAATTAGATTTTTTAATACTATTTTTCAGACGTCAGCCTGTCAGTTGTGCCTGTAGGTCCTGTGTTACAGGTTCATCCTGATTTATGTTTCTGGGTTCTTTTCTACAAAACATGACTCAAAATCAAGCGTTCTGTCAGAAGTTTTTCCTGTTTTGAATAAGACTGTAAATCACTTCTGTTGTTACCTTGACATGATTTAGGTGGAGCAGAGTTTCTTTAAGAGATGCACAACAGGGAAGTCTACTAATACTTTCCTCTAGGCCTGATCCTGATAGGAATGTTGATTCAGTAACAAAATGTAAAGCATCACTGCTGATGAATAACTGACCAATCCCATTTAAAAGCAATCTTCATTCCATCTGAACAAAAAAGCGATTCGTTACGTCAATGCTCTGATTTACTGACAAAACAACATAAGAATCTCACTCGTCCAGCGAACAGAAATATGTTCGGAGAACGTTTGTTATGAATGTTTTTCAAAAAGTCCAGTCAATTAGATGCAGTGTTGGGGAAAGTTACTTTTAAAAGTAATGCATTACAATATTGCGTTACTCCATAAAAAAGTAACTAATTACGTTAGTTATGGAAAGTAATGTGTTAGGTTACTTTTGCGTTACTTTTTAAATCTGGACAGGGCTTGCTTGTTTGTTTTTAAAATAAAAAAGTTATATTTTTGGCAAATATAAAAGCCTTTTCGTCATATTCTGAGTTGCATTTTTTTTATTCATTTTGAGGAACACTGAATTTTTTTTTTTTGTGAGTGAGATGAATTAATGCATATTCATATTTATTTTAGAACTACAGTAACATCTTCTGATTTCTGTCACCATGGCGACACCAGAGCTGTCAATCAATAAATTGGAAGAAACAAAAGGAACGCGTTACTTATTTGAAAAAGTAACTCAGATATTCTCTTGTAAATTAAAAAGTAATGCGTTACTTTACTAGTGACTTGAAAAAAGTAATCTGATTACGTAACTCGCGTTACTTGTAATGCGTTACCCACAACACTGGTTAGATGTGACTTGAATGCAGACGTGCGGAATTAATTGAAGACAAATAGTTTAAACATCGTATTTTCACAGCAGCAAACTGAAGGACTCCAGAAATGAAGCAGAGCTCTAAAGAACGAAACACCTGCGTACAAACTTTACGATGCGCTGCTGAACAATCTTATCTCGGACGCTTCAGTCCTGAACAAATCAATCTATATTACATCTAAATCTAAAACATTTCTGTCCCGATTAAAACGGCAATGGCGTTTCGACCTAAAAATTACATTTAAAACACATTGTATCAATAAAACCCCATCGAAAACATCTGAACAACTTTATGACAGCAAGCACACAATATCATTAATGGAAATAATGTAGGCAACAAAACCAACAAACAATAATTCACTTATGACTAACGATTTAGATTTTATAACAGTTAGACTTGAGGAACACTGAGCCTGATTTAAATTCGAAATAATGAATTAAATGTAAATGTTCACCTGGATGAGTGTGTGTTGAGTGTGTAATAAAACATCACAAACACACCCTGAAAGACGATCAGGACCATCAGGACCCGGAGGATCCACCGGAGAAACGCCAATGCCATCAGAGAAACAAATGAACGAGTGTGTGTGTGTGTGTGTGTGTGTGATTGAGGGGGCACTCATAACCCCGCCCCTCTCAAAACGCCTCTGTAAACCAGTTCATAAACAATGACCTTGTATTTTGTGTTGTGCAATTTTGACCAAGAAAATGCTTCTATGTACTGAAGTAGCCTAGTTTTGGTGTGACTTTGAGACTGTCTTTGTCGAGACTGGTGTTGATGAGAGGATTTCCCGAAGGTAGAAATATTTTATAATCATAAACTTGTGTGGTTTTGTTTGATATAAAACAGTGGTTCTGTACCTCAGCTAACAGAGAACGTTCTCCGACTAACGTTCTGGCGAGGTTCTCTTGAAGGTATGAGCAAACGGACAGAACGCTCCTTCAAATTCATCGTATCTAGCTTTTAAAAGTTACTATTTTCAGAACGTTCATGAACATATTTGCAAAACGATACATTTGAACGCCCCCTTGACATTCCCATTAAAAAAAGTTTAAACATTTTTTTTGGACGTTTTGAACGTTCAGAGAACAAACCAAATTCCATTTAATATAAAGATTTTGATTAATATCAATACTCCTCGTGCTCCTTCTTGACTGTTGAAGAGCCCCAAAAACACGGAAGACAACAAAAGTAGCCCAACATTTCGAAGATTTGGGATGCAGTTCAAACACACTGTAAATCATTTCAATCCAATTTAAACACGTGATAGCCAATACACACGAATTTGGGAAAACCAAGTCTAAATTAAGAGTAGCCTATAGGCGGATATTTATTCCTAATTCCTAATTTCAGGAATATGTTTATTTGTTTATGTATGTACACGGATATAAATCGTACTGTCTGGTTAGAAGCGCTTGAGCTGCTCTCTATCTAGTTTCATTATCTAGAAACTACGCAGAAAATATTCCGAGTAAGACACAAAACAGACTTTAACTTCTCCAACAAGCTGACATGTTCAGTATCTCGCCATTCTGTATAGCTTTTATTAAATTGTGGTGCGCGAACTTAAAGAGTTGTCCTATAGATGAATAAAGCACAACTAAAATTTAACAAAACTTAGGCGTTACAACGCGTTTTTAAAAGAAAAAGAATTCTCGACGATGTAGACTATCAGTTTCTCTTAGACAAAATGTGTACACATTATATGATTTGTTGGTAGATAAGATCGGGTTGTACATAGGCTAAAGTTAATTTCTGCGTGTGCGAAGTGGAAAGTCGAAGCACCAAAGCAACATATATGTGTTCTCATAATATTCACACGTATGTAGATGATGCTAGAGCTTCTGTTTCAATTTATGCAAATTCAGAAAGATTAAATTCGATTGACAATTAAATACATTAATTTAATGATTTGATTTCGTATATTTTTGAAATACATTTATAGGATTCTTCCTGATGTCTTACACTGTAAAAAAAATTCCTTAAAATTTACGGTAAAAAACCGGCAGCTGTGGTTGCCGGACAAGAACAGCACATATTGTATCATATCTGAACAAAACTATTTGAAATTATTTACTGCACCAAAAGTGACTAAAAAAGGAAACACATTAAATAATACATGTAAACACAGGTTTCTTGGAATACAGAAAAGTGGTAAAATAGGCTATTTTACAGCTAAGTAGAAAAATAACTCATATTTCCTCGGATATAACCATTTTAAATGTCCCTAATATAGTTCCAGTAATGAAGTCAGTAACTATAATCCAGATATTACAACATCAATGTAAAAATCTGACTACATTCATCTGTCTCACATGCAATTAAACACACTCTAAAATCTGTAAAATTAGGGTACAGTGTAAATACGAAGGCATTTTCCATGTTTTTTGAAGGAGGGTTATTGGAAATGTCTGCAAAACTAACGAATAATGTCCAGGCAGACAATCACCAGTACATTTTTTTTTTTTACAGTGCCTTACTAAAGTCTTGATGCAATAAAAGCGTTTTATAGTGAGCACGCAATTAGTTAGCATCTGTATTATTTCCATTGTGAGACAACGCACGGGTTTAGCACAAATAAATAATTAAATGTTTGTAGACCTAAGTAGCGTTATTTTTAATTTTTGACGGGAATGCAAACGAGTCTGTGAGGGACAGAAGTTCCTCAAGCTCCTAAAGTCTGTGTAAGTTCCCTTCCTTCATAATGCATATGCACGAATATACAAGCAAGTAGGCCTGTATCATTAATTTCTGGATCGATTCGGATATGGTTATATACAGTATAAATCAGAGACAGAAGCATTGTGCTGTAAGGAACATAATTTGATGAATGTAAAAAAAAGAACTAAAGAAATGGTCTTTTGACCATGATGAGGAAGCAGCAGGTAGCATCATAAGTATTTAGGGATTTACTCTGATTCTCAGCTACGATGGGGCCATCAAGTGGAGTGTTTGTGCACAAGCTTGTCAGCTTTTGCACTTTTTGCAAAGGCTTAGTGTCTGTGGGGTGGATAAAAGTATCATGTTGCTGTTAGATCAGCTATTGAATATATTATTGAACATATATATTGAATATATGTTATGCTTTTACAACACGGTTTGGTAATTTGTCTGTTAAATTAAAGATTGATTTTTTTAATCGTTTTTGCCTTTGACAGAACAGTGTAGAGAGGACAGGAAGCGAAGAGGGAGAGAGATAGGTGCGAGATTAAAAAAAGATCGCGAGCCGGGGTTCGAACTCGGGACGCTCGAAGCGCAATGGCGCTGTATGTCAACGCGCTGCACAACAGGCTATAGGCGGCGATGAAGTTTAAAATATAAAATAATAGGTATACCCCTAACATACATGATACGCATACATTGCGCTATTGCAGACAGAGCTAGAATTAAAGGCGTTAATATTATAATATTAATATTTTCTCACGGGTGAATGAGACATGAGTTGATCTGACAGCGGTGCATTATATATATATATATATACCAGTCAATATTTTTGAAGAGTAAGATCTATAATGTTTTTTAAAGAAGTCTCTTCTGCTCACCAAGCCTGCATTTATTTAATCCAAAATACAGAAAAAGCAGTAATATTGTGAAATATTATTATTTAAAATAACTGTTTTCTATGTGAATATCTGTTAAACTGTAATTTATTTCTGTGATGCGCAGCTGAATTTTCAGCATCATTACTCCAGTCTTCAGTGTCACATGATCTTCAGAAATCATTCTAATATGCTGATTTGCTGCTCAAGAAACATTTCTGATTATTATTATTATTATTTAAAACAGCTGAGAAGAAATTTTTCAGGTTTCTTTGATGAATAGAAAGTTCAGAAGAACAGCATTTATCTGAAATAGAAATATTTTGTAACATTATAAATGTCTTTATCATCATTTTTGATCAATTTAAAGCATCCTTGCTAAAAGTATTAATTTCTATAATTTCTTCACCCACCCCCACAAAAAATGTACTCAACTGTTTTAAATATTGATAATAATAATAATAATAATAATCAGAAATGTTTCTAAAAAATCTTACTTTTCAAACATTTTTAACTGGTAGTGTAGATATGTATCATTGCATCTAGTTCTTTTGGATAAATATATCAAAATGAATGTAAAAACAAAATTGTATAAAATACTAACAGCGCATCCACTACAAATATGTCTAAATATCTAATTTCATACGTTTTTGTTTAACTTTTGAATAATGACTTTATGTAATGTCAATGCTTAACTCCATTAATGAGCAGAACATTTAATCTAAATGTGTATATCGAAAGGAAAAGAGTCTGAAATAATAATAATTAATTAATAATAATAATTAGTTACATTTATATAGCGCTTTTCTGGGTACTCAAAGCGCTTTACATGAAAGGGGGGGAATCTCCTCAACCACCACCAGTGTGCAGCATCCACCTGGATGATGCGACGGCAGCCATAGTGCGCCAGAAC